CGGCGTAGCTCACCTCAACGTGATAGGCACGTTACCATAATCGAACAAAATAGTTCGAAGTGGCACTCACCAAGCCATTTGTAGTATTTTCTAAAACGCGCTGTTAAGACAGCAGGTAAAGGTTGGTCTGTGTTCTGTCGGATCTGCCTACGACGCGCTGATGAGATCCAAAAAGATCGAAATCGCGATCCGCGTCTGGCAGTTTCGACAGAATACAGACCACTTCGAAACAGATGGCGCTCACCACGCCATTTGTAGTATTTCCTAAAACGCGCGGTTAAGACAGCAGGTAAAGGTTGGTCTGTGTTCTGTCGGAGCTGCCTACGACGCGCTGATGAGATCCAAAAAGATCGAAATCGCGATCCGCGTCTGGCAGTTTCGACAGAATACAGACCACTTCGAAACAGATGGCGCTCACCACGCCATTTGTAGTATTTTCTAAAACGCGCTGTTAAGACAGCAGGTAAAGGTTGGTCTGTGTTCTGTCGGAGCTGCCTACGACGCGCTGATGAGATCCAAAAAGATCGAAATCGCGATCCGCGTCTGGCAGTTTCGACAGAATACAGACCACTTCGAATTATTTTGTACGTATTAATTTTCCTAATTACATTCGGAATTCGAAATGCGGGAGAAATTTTTGCCCTTGCCAGAGGGGAACAATTACAAATAAACGACAGATGAACGCCTACACGGTGGTAGCGTATGACACATGAAAAAAAATAAGAAGAATTATATTTAGGTTAAAATTTGAAATTACGAATTTAATGTAGTATATATAATGTATAAAGACAAGTATGTGTAATAATGGATTTTAGTTGATACACCCGCCTGTAGCAAAGTTACTCAACTTATCTGTTTGTAGGTAGGTGGTATTAGAAATACACGAAAGTAATTATTTAGATGTCATATTTCATTTTCCATACACGAGAAATCGCTCCTGCTATATCTTAAATTAATTCGAAAAGGCGCTCCCTGTTGGGACGTAGAATTAATTTTGTAGTAAATAAATGCTCGCGTATTGCTTGTAACTCTCTATAATGTGCTGCCTTACAATTAGATATATAAACAGCATTAACGATACAAAACTAATGGATTAAGGAAGAAAGTAAAGAAGAAAGTTTTTAAGTTTGAATGGTTAATTATTCGCACACATATTTATGTATGTACTTAAAAACCATGATTGTCGTTTGCAGCAGTTGTTGAAAAATTTGTAGGAGACAGAAAATCTGTATAAAGGAAAACACTTATAAAAAAGGAAATTTTACATTATTTTGGTTAGAGGCGAATTTAGATTAGATTGCGCTTTACCCTTATTTCGATTTGTCTTATACTTAAAATTATTTACATAAGTGTATTTCATGTATTAGTACTAAAATACTAAGACTAGGAAAAAACTTAAGAATGACGTTTTAGAAAAGGCATTTGCTTTCAAATTTTGATGCTTTACAAAGTTGCAAACCTGAATCCAAATGCTTCAGTGATTTAGGATTTCATTCACGAGTAGATTTTTTATAAAAAATTGTGTTTTTGGTCAAACAGTTAATGTTTATTGTATTATGATTAAAACATTATTTTTAAATAATAGCACCTACACTTTTCTGTCTATGGAACTCAATATTATCAACCGAGGAATAGGGCTTTTACACGACATGATACAAATCCCAAGGCGTTTTCTAAAAAAAAGATAACATATTGATAATGATAACCAATGATAGCTAAGAAATCCAGAAATTACATTTCATTTTTCTCAAAACTACGACAGTAAAATTTAAGTCTAACACCAAATTGGAACGAGTAACTTGAAAAGTATTTTATTTAGAAGATGTTAAAATATTTTTGCAGTATTACATTGAAAGATAAAATAACCCTACGACTTGAAATATTTTTCGTTTTTTCTAATATTCATGTTTTCAAACTTATTTTTTTTACAAATTACAAACTCTGATAGGTTGTGTCTTTCGTGTTAGGTATTTGCGTGATCTGGTTTGATCCAGTTCTGATGGAATTTTAATTACCTAAGGTTGACGTTTTTTACTTAGGTGCCGATGTTGTTCATTCCTAATTTTATTTGGAATAATTACATGAATTTATAATGAAATTCTTCTTCACTTAGTTTGGTCTTTGTTGATATCTAAAAATAATTTTAATTTTCTTTCCATACTTTATCATCCTTGCTTCCTCTGTTTATTTGTATTAAATTATTGTACAAGTAAAATTTTAAGATAACAATATTCGCGGCTGTATGTAACTACTAATTATTCGTTTAGAGATTTTGTACTGTTAGTATTAACATACTTTTATTACAAGTACTAATTAATCCGATTAAAATATTTTTGTTGCTCGGGTTTAAAAGAAAATAAATTAGCTCAAAATTAGGCAAGTGCTCATAGAGTAATGTACAGTAGGGAACTTGCTATTTCCAGGATTAATTTTATTATTTATTGTCTCACCTAAAAGTTTTCTAACTGCGAAGAATACCGAGCGGATTTAAAGATTAAGCTCCACGAGCGGACATTCCTGTTCGTCGAAAGCCGATAAAGCTCGAAAAGCCCATTAAACAAGAATTTCATTCTAGTTGGAAAGTAGCTATTGTAGTAGTTCTTTTATGAATGTTTTAGATACACATCAAAGGGGAAAACTGTGGGCAAGCGTGGTAGGTGTATCGTTAACGATATGACCGGCAATTCCACGTATTTGAAATGTCCGCAAAACGACAGCAATGAGAAATTATTGATTTATGTAACTATTTGCTAATCAATGATGTTCATGGAATAGCAGTACCTATAGAGTTTTACCCATATATAGAAGCATGCGAGTTCTGTGATATAATATATTATTCGAGGTAATATAGATACATACATAATGCAATATACACATAATATGTAAATAGGTTCTTGAAAATGCCTCTAAACGATTTTACCGAAATTCCCGGAATAGGTTTTTTGACCGATGATCCGAATTAACAGGATCTTATTTCCAGAAAAACTCTTTGAATGTTACATTTTCATCATAATAATTAATGGGTAACCTATGGTTAATTTAATTTTTGGTTTTTCATTGTGATTTTGTTTTTCATTTACTTAGTTTTTATAAAATACTCAAATAATGATCGAAGTTCCCTCGAAAATTGTATTTCCTTATATAACTACCTTATCACTAAAATACAAAAATCCCGAAATGGTTTGGAAATCTTGTAGCTAAATTTTAACCTTACGGGTGCATTACATGTATATGTATATAAGGAAAAAAGAAAAACAACGTAACAAAAACAATTTAGGAAAAAAAGTTACTTATACCCGTTATAAAAGCTATTGTTGGAAGTTTAAAAGCATGGAATATACCTAACCTTTCGGAAAATCGATTTTATTTTTTCTAAGGTTGTTTGTATCTAAAAGACTTTTCTTACCCTAAAGATGTTATTGTTAGTTTTGCGAACCGGCAACATTTCGTTTTTGTTTTGCCATTACCGTCAGCTATATACATTTTATCAAGCTGCTAGTACTAGCTGCTGTATAAGAAACCTTCGTGTAAAATTACGAGCTTCCTGAACCAGCGGTTTGGGCTAGAATCAAAATTTGAATCCCCTTTTTACTTTAGGGGTTGAATTTAAAAAAAATCTTTTTTTAGTACTCGTCTACTTTGCATAGGGAACGTTTGTGTAAAATTTGGAAACTGGCGGAAACTTTGAAATAGCGTGGATGCGCGGTGGCAAAAGTAGGCAGTTTTAGGTATAATGATTGCAGCCCTCTTTCTTCAGTATTCCTATCAGCGGCGTAGATTAAATATTTAAAATAAATATCTGAAAGCTTATTTGTGTATCGGTTCCGAGTGACTTACCCAAATAGGTCATAAATGGGCAAGTACCTGCGCGACCGCTCGCCAGCTGCCTTCGTCCGGCCTGTACCAACCTCTAACCNGACCGCTCGCCAGCTTCCTTCGTCCGGCCTGTACCAATCATTCTTTCCTTTTATATATTGTCTAACGATAAGATGAACTAGTACTGATTTTTAAAAGTGCAATCATATGGGTCTTGTCTATCCCTTTTTCAATACTTTGGTTTTGCTTAAATTGTTTGTCATCTTTAATCAAGTAATTTTGGTTGTTTAGCTTTTGTGTTCAAAATTATACAGAACAATCATAAATAAATTAAGAAACCATAAGCCGAAGTTATGATATCTCCACGACCTAATCAGTGTTCTTCTTTTGAAAATCCAGAAAGTAAATAAAAAGAGAAAATATTTATATATGATATCATCGTGTATACGATATCGAACACCTGTGGAAAATCAAGTCTAAAAAATTGTACAGGCGAATAAAATCAGGGGCCGAAAAGAAAAAACGAACGATAGAGTAGTAGTCATTGTCCACGTTACCTAAAAAATGCAACTTTGACGGCATTACTGTGAGAAATGAAAAGGGTAGTTGTCTATCGAAGAACTTTTTGGTCTCCGAATTCCACTTGTCCCAGCACATCAGATGCATTTCAAAATTTCTGAATCCGATTGCTGTTAATTTAGCTTCTTTGGTTAAAGATTGGAATATGGGACCAGACTTTTCAGTTTATCATTGAAAAATATCCGAAAATTACTGGTTTATTTTATTGTTTTTCGTAAAAATTCTGCATAATAATCTTTTTGAAAAATAGAGTGCTGATATTGAGACCGCAGTAGTCTTGGACTTCGTCTTACACTTTGAGTATTATTGAGTTTTTTTCATGATTTTGATCTACAAATCATGGTGCTGTCTTAATCTTGATCTTACATATTAAGTTTTGATCATGGCCTTGGTCTGGCAATCATGGTAGTATATAGGTCATGGTCTTGCGTACTGCCGATTTGTCATGACTTGGTCTCGAAATCCTGACAGTGTTTTCGTCCTGATCGTGTAATAAAGTGAGCAAGATTGACACCATCACTACCAACGCTTCAACCAATTCAATATTCCGGACTTTAGGATTTGATACACAATAGCAACTAGTTAATATAAATAAAATTTAGTACCTTGTCAAAGGCCATGGGCCTGTGGCATCGCTGCTCCCGGTCCGGCTCCATGCGACGGCCGGGCTCGGCGTGAGAGCAGAGGGGCCGGGCAGCCGGACACACTCCTCTAGCCGAGCTCCATGGGGCTTTGCCCCCGCCCCATCACGCCTGTAGTCACCCCCACATTCGAACTGAAACAAAAAAATTAAGAAAACATAATTTTACTTCTTCTGTGTATACAGGATCTACTGTCATATGAGAAAAGAGACACATTGCAAAAGTATGAGAACTCCTGCTAGAGAAACTCAGCGCATTTTTTTGCCAAGACTGTACTACAATTGGTTCAGAAGTTAAAGCCTACTGAAACTTCCATAATTTAGCAGTAAAAATGATGAGCTCCTGCCAACGCATTTCAGCTTTAACCACCAACTTCGGAGAGTAGTAGCCGTTAGCGATCGCAATTGAACTCCATATTGCTGGCAGGAAGCTCTCGTTTCTAGAGTCCTTCCAGAGCGCTTCCAGCAAGTCAACTGCTTATCCGTTGTGTCATTAACAATTCGTACTAATTTTCTTTTTATTATGTGATTGAAGGGATTCCGTACCACTATAGGGGATGTTAAAAAATTACTTTGTACTGTGAAACCTTCCTCTGTGGTCAAGAATTTGGGTCAACGTGGAGAGTATCCTTCAATATACTTAAAGGATATATTTATCTCCTTTTTTCCGTTTTACAGGACTATGAGACTATGGTCTTTCGGTATCTTATATTAATTTCAACTCGATACGTGTAACCCTTCGTGAGAAGGGTCTCGACGGACAGATAGACGGGCGGAAAACAAAAAGTGATCGTATCACCGGGTTCTTCCTGGCGCCTGCACCATTTACATTCTTTTAGTACCCTACGAACTTTTGTGTTTGTTTTGATTTAAACTGACACTTAGCAATCAAGTCTTAACATACGATTAATGTAATCATCATCATAAGGTCGTCAGTCCTAAGACTGGTTGGACACGTACCTCCACTCTTTCCTATCCTGAGCTAAACTTCGCATTTCCCTAAAACTAGAATAGCCCACATCCTTAACTATTTGCGAACAGTAATCTAATCTAGGTCTACCTCTACCCCTCCTAACTCC